TAGCCACTACTGCTCTTGCACCCAGCACATTGTTATTAGCCAATGTAAACACCAGTCACATTTAAAGCTGTCGGATTACCTTTTGTACAGACGTCATCCTGACACCACCTGAGGTGCAACGCTCCTATGTGACAACTGGACTCTGTATCTTGTTGGATAAATCTCATGGAAGAATGACTTTCTTATGGTTTCGCTGTTCCAGTTCATGCGTTCATTGCTCAAAAGCGAACAAAAAAAGGAGAGTCTATATTTGTGTAATATATATAATTCTAGATCTGTATCTATATCTGTTTTATTTGAAGCACCTAGAATTACTGTATGTGCTGTATACATAGCTACCACTCACCATATTGACCATGGAACTTCAATGTGAATAGGCACTCTTAGCCCTCTCGAAGAGATAATTTATATTCAAGTATGTGTTAATTTAGACTGTTACCATTAACCAACAGGTTAACGAAAGGTTAAATTTTCCAATTTTTCTTTCAGCTGTATCAGCCACCCAGCTTTCCATTGTGCATAATTTAACATCTTGTTAGTGATCCATCCGGGGATATGCATGCTTATCGGTCTGAAGGCTTAGAAGAGAGGATAACACATTAGTTGACCTACATGAGTCAAACATTTGGAGTTCAGTGTTACGATATTTTGAATTTAGCTTTATTTTAATGTGCTAACTTTGATGTGAAAAAAATGTCCCTATGTCATTTTAATTTGTATCGCATCCTTGGTAGGAATAAAAAAGGATGTCACAAGTTACGAGTCATTCAAAATTGTAATATGTGACCATTGGATGATTGATGTTAACTGACCTGGACCTTTGCTAAATGACATGCTTCAGATGCTGTGCACCTCCCTGCTATAATTACAGAGGATGAATGAGGATTTGCCCACTTTGGATGATGAGGATAGCTAGCATTTATTGGTTATGATTCCTAATGCATACAGTGACACACATACAGGTACAAGTCTGAGTGGCAGGGTGGTGACATGAGATCCAGTGACACAGAGAGTATACTCATTATGTGAAATACGTTTATTTTTTCTCTCTTAATCTCACATTAATATATTTTTAGCTTTATCTTCAGATGATATATCACAGAGTTTTTTATTCATGCATAGCATTTATTAAAAATATACCGCTTTGACAATCTGACACAAACAGAGGCAAAGGCGTGGTGGGGTTTCATAGTACACATAGCTTAGATCATTAGCATGACTGAGGATAACCTCCAAAAGAAAAACGGATTCTTTCCTTGTTAACTTTTGAGCTGAAAGGACATTGTGCACCAATGTTCCAATTTAAAGTGAAATATTTATGATTAAGCGAATAGCTGACAGATGTCTCAAGAAGGATACTGTAAATGATGTTATCGGCCATAAAATTCAGTGCCAGAGAGCACCAATCACCCTGCGACGAGATCAGTGCTTTATTTCCCATCTTTCTTCTTGCTTAGCCCAACTTTTAAGGTGGTCAAAGATAAAGCATGATAATAGAAGTCATAATTTGTTATATGGTGTAAGCTGGCTTTCATGCATAGTATATAAGGAGTGATCAAAAAATTCTGGGAATCCACCCCACACCCCCTAAAAAAATCAATTGTTTTACTCCTTGGCCATATCATTTAAAATTGGCCAACCTCTTGTTCAAGATCATCTTCTTGTGCACAGGTGGTATTTTTAGATCACCCTGTACTGGCTTGCCTCTGCAATATGTGCTGATGTCCTTCAGTTTTATTAAAACCGGATTTTCAGTTTCAGGAAAAAGTTACAGGGAGGCAGATAATGCACGTGAAAAGCAAAGATTGTGTTGATGTGGGTGAAAAACTGGAAAGCAATAGCATTTCCCTGAGGCACCTCGCACCAATGCAGGACCAGACACACAGCATGTCATGGTGCACAACCTCATGAATGTCAAAAAAAAAAAAGATGAGCATGCTTCTTATTTCCCACCTCATCTGATCTGCTGCCTTCAAACTATTGGATCACAGCTGGAAACCCAGATCCCATCACCAGCGACGACCGACTCAAGTTGCTGTTTGGTCACCGTGCAAGTTTGAGGTCCACGGTGAAATCACAGGATGTACACGTCATGTGGTAAAAGAAAAAACTTCCAGGGAGTGATCTAAAAATAGCAGCTATGCTGGAAGCTGTCTGGACATTACTGAGAAGATGATGTTGAATGAGAGATCAGAGATGTTTAAATCAGGCAGGGTTTTCAATTATTATGGACCTGATCTCAGGGCGTTTTGATCACACGCATACAGCATTTTGAAATGATTACTGTGTATGTCCCAAAAAAGGTAAATGTTCACTTCACTTTGAGCTTTCATTCTGCTTTGCAGTCAAAGCTAAATCAAATTCTCCCTTGTATAGATGCATTTCCAATAACAGTTGTGTGAAAACTTGTTGATCCAGCTCGGAGCTTCAAAGGCTGACAGAATGTGTCGTGCTTTGGGATAAGAGCAGAGACATCTTCTGATCAGAAGCATCAAGGCTGGGTACAAGATGTGCGGGCGATGGAGGGCGACCCTGTCTAATGCCTCAAGTTTCAAATAGCTTCAATGCACATTTAGACAGTTAATCTAACATCGCTGTCACATATATGCCACTCGACGGATTGTTTTGAAAAGCTATGTAATATGATTTAGTTTACAAGGAGAAAACAATCTTTTCCAGTGTATTGAGAATGAGATTTGAATGTGTGCCAGAGAGTGGACGGTGTGTCCAACCTCATGTAAAAAGATGCAGAATTGTACAACTTGTAAATGAAATAATCAGCATGAGAACATTTTTTAAATCCATTTAAAAAGGCAGAGGCCAGTGATGTTCTGTACTTGTAACAATGGTGTCATGTACTCATATTCAAGTGTAAACAAGTCCAAAGTGGGTTTTCATCTCTTCAAAATGAAAATGGGTAAAATGTATTTGACAAAAAAAAAGTATCTATCTATCTATATATATTAGAAACATCTCCTTTATAAAGCCTTCATCTTAATCTAGGGGACTCACTTCATTGTGGGTCCTTGCAACATACTGAATAACAAAGAACGAGAGATGGGAGCAATGATTGATTGGTGTGGTTAAAAAAATAATAACTAATACTTGGTATGAGTGTTGGGAGAGGCTGAATTGCTTACAAGCAGCAAGGTCTCTATTACCAAAGAGGAGAACAGTTCACTGTGATGGTTACAGCAGCAGTTCCTACACCCAGGGATGTTATTTCAGAAACATCACACAGCCATTTTTGTTCTGTTTTATATGCCAACTCTTCACCCACTCTAGATGTATTTGTTTCTTCTAATGTATTTCATTTCAATGCGGTCCTGTCTGTTTGTTGAGCTGTCAAAAGTTCTGATGAATTATAATTCTCTTTTCTTTGCTATTGTGTGAGGCTTCTGTACTGCAACATTGCAACAGTTTGTATTATAATGACAATACCAGAATAATATTTAAATAAACCATTTTCACAGATGAAATTCAAACACTGAGGAATCCCATCTGTTTGGTTGGTAAAATACTGAGCTTTTTAGTGAGTGAGCTAGAGAGCGCTGACAGTGCTAAACACTGGCCCAGTTTCCAACTTGGAATAAATGTTGGAATTATTAATAGCTTTTTGTTTGATAGCACCGTAGAATCTTGCTTTATATACCATCAAGAGACTGAAAAATGTGAAAAAAACTAAACAGAAAAAGAAACAAATGTTTGCGATTGGCATCATTTTTGAATTAAATGGTAAATGGCCTGTATTTGTACAGCGCTTTTACTAGTCCCGCCTAGGGACCCCAAAGCGCTTTACACACCCAGTCATCCACCCATTCACACACACATTCACACACTGGTGGAGGCAAGCTACAGTTGTAGCCACGGCTGCCCTGGGGCAGACTGACAGTCTTGACTGAATTACTTCATAATCATAAAAAAGTGGCTGATCCAAGTATATAAGAAGGGATTAAAGGTTTTGATCTATTATGATATATCATTCAGAAATGATAAAGGTCATTGTGCTGATATATTCTGCTTACAAAAATGAATAAAGGAGGCGAATTGTCATCTATAGACTTAAAGTTTACTTATAAACTTAAATAGCTGTTATAGTGGAATGAAATGTTGATGTTGTTGATGCTCTGCTTCTTTGTCAAAGCCCTTATAGAGTCGCGGTATTAATAATGGTACCACTGTGCTTAAATCTAAAGTTGAAATCTCTAAATTAAGGTTCAACATGAAGAACACTGAGGGACATAAAGATTCGAACACAATTTTTTAACAAATCGTAATCGAGGCACTGTGATACTGGTGCTGAGGAGGTAAAAAGAGTAACAAGTATTTAGGTAGTTTGCAATTTGGTCGCTTGCTTTTGGCAGCCTTCATCAGTGCAAAACTTAGTAACAGAAAACAACATCCCAGCTGGTAAAAATGAGCCGTCAAATCTCATCATCCACTTGTCTGTTTGAAAGGTAAGAAAGAGCACTAGCAAATTAAGAGAGCGAGATCCTCTTTGGAACTGCGGAGTGAATTTGGCAGCGGCAGCTCAGCTAATCAGGTTTACTTAATCAGTGAATTCAGAATGCAAAACAGGCAAAGTAGCAAAAGAGAGCAAAAGCAAGAGAGACACATGAGCAGCAATATGAAATTAACCCTCAGCCCGTGTTAGTTATTTCAGCAAGCAATGACAGTTATTTATGTGGAGGCAAAGAAAGAGCAAACCACCGACCGGCCTCTGGCACTCGAATCAGGACACTGTTTGTACTGCTGCATAAAGAAGTAGGGGGAATTATTGTACGTGGAAATTACTGCCCTCTCTGCACCGTGCATATTCAAATATGTTGTGTTGCTGCAGACGATGAATCACAGATGGGTAAGATCTGTTCATCCTTTTATGTGTTTCTATGGAGGAAAAAATAATACTGTTAGAAAGACATTTTCATATGCTCATAAAATATACACGTACACATTGTAGAGACAAGGTCCGTG